GAGCATCTTGCAGAAGCAGCCACAGTTCTTCTGGAGACTTTGACTGTCGACTCGCTTCTTATTTCTGCAGCGAAACCCAGCAGCCTTCATTCTGTTTTTATCTGAAAAGTGTCTCTTATGGAATCTGCTGCTTTCTTTACTGACATACAAACATTTTTCTCTAACATTTCATTTTGTGCTGGAAAACTAATGTTTGGAATCGAAAATGTTTTTGTACTGAATCAATAATGTAGAAGTCATAAAATAAAACTCTATAACAAAGTTTGTACTAAAAAAAATAAGGTGCCAAGACTTTTGCACAGTACTGTATATCTAAATCTCACTTTGGGAGATGTCTTCAGATAGATGGAACAGTGAGGTACTGACTTAAAGTTTTACATGTTTAAAAGTTTTTTACATCTTTAAAATGAACACTACAACACAATGATTATTTTGGAGCAACACAGTCAATGGACTCAAAAACTTTCATGGAATCCTGAGTTTAAAAGTTGTTAAAGAGTTTTGGTTTTAGTGGTGAGTAACCAAGGTAATCGTGTTTTTTCCATTTATTGTTAAAAGTGCTAAATTGATCTGAACTGAAATTGTTATCTGGAAACATTGGGTGTTAGTATCTTGAGTTTATGAATAAACTTTATAAAAGAAAGAACTCCTATATACTGTACATATACGACATATCAGTCCAGGGCAATGTAATGTTATAAAAGAAAAGAAAAACACAGACTTTACCATTACACTAAACTGCACTTCACATGTGTACAAGTCTTGAGGTGAGACACTTATTATTACTGTTCATGTACTGTAACATCAATTTTGCTAAATTCAAATAAATGCCTCTCAGCGAAAGTGACTAAAATTCTGCCACCTACCTCCCAAAATTACAACCACGTGACAAGATAAACTTTTTAAAAACACAGAAAAACAGGGAGCAAATCATCAAGGTAAGCTCTGAGAGAATGGTGAATGAAACCTCTGTTTCTTACGTCTTTCTCTTATTGAACTTTTCACTGCTATGCTAGGTTCAAGACTTTTTTTGCTTAGCCATCCATAAGCTTTGACTGTTCTGAAACAAGGCATCCTGGCAGTAGTAATAAAGTATATAATGATTAATTAGATGATGCCCAGGCCCCTTTATTGTAACTCATCGGTATAAAGCAAGCTGTGCTTATAATGTCTCTGGAAAGAGTGACATTTTCAAAAATAAGTAAAATCCAAAGTGTTATTGAGAATATGCAATATTGTCCTGTCCAACTTTTTCAGACATGTGACACTTTTTAAGGTGGCCCTAATAATGCTTAATGGCATTTATATCTGCTTATGTATGTTTTAGATCCATTACCTGATTTGTTCAGTTCAACAACTTAGAATGTTGTCTCCTTTGTTTTGATAGTTCTTTGGTTTTCCGCCTGGTGAATGGATGACAAAGGGATTTTACATGGGTGCATCCTTATATTTATACCCCTGTCGGAAAGATACTGTCAGAAATATCATAATTACAAACTGAATGCACATGAACGGCACCACAATATCATAATTACCACTCTGGAGCTTCTATGTTTCTTCGAGTCCCAACTTTCTGTGTTCAGTAACAAAAAGTCATGGCAGCCTGCGATAGACGTCTACAGCAGAGAGCGGAGATGGAAAATAT